CTGCCAGCTGCAGAAGTCTACTACTGTCTTTAAGTGTGCTTACCTTGGAAGTTTGTAATACAGTTATATCTTTCAGTGACAATTTAATATTTTTTTTCTTGTGGAGATTACATTTGCTTTGCCTACCTTTTAAAAATCAAAAACAGAACAAAGCAGAACTTCATGCTCTCCAATACTAAATGGTGAGACAAAGATATACCAGGGAGTTTGATTGGGCACACACAGGAGAAACTGTGCTAGCAGTGGCTATATAAGTAAGCATAAGTATTTCCTCGGTATATTGATCATTAGTGGAAACAAGCTCAATAGCCCTGTTGTGTCTTGCATCCTATTCATCAGCACTGGCATTCCAGGAAGGCAAGTGTGATCAATATTTCCTATTTGAGTGCATGGCCAAATTATTGCAAAATTGACTACGGGTAAAACTCAAGGCAAATTTCTTATGGGTTCTGTTTTTTCAAATGTCTCCCTTATTAAGCAGCTAAAAAGAGTGTATGGTGAATAAATGGTGTATAAACATTTTTTTTTCTGGGGAAAATGTAGTGATGTTTCCCTGCCACAACAGAGAGCACAGACCTTTATTCTAACCTGTGATTTCATCTCTGAAACAGAATATTTTCCATGACATGGTCAGATAGACTAAAGAGATTTTTTAGGAATACCAGTTTTAATGAATTGTATTTTATTTCCATTTAAATTTCTAACTGTAGAATTGGGAAATTGAGAAATAATTAGAAACTATTCTTTAAGTATTAACATTTGTAACAGGTTTTTAACGTGTGACCTACTCAGACATTCTCAGAAGTTGCATTATGAGAAAAGACGGACTTTAGGCTCAGGTAGTCAAACACTATTACAAGCCCTCAAAAGTTGGAAGGAGCAAACCAAGACAGACTAACTTCCTTCAACACAGAGGATGATGTGGAAACCTTTGAACCCCAATTCTGGAGTAAAGGACGTGATTCAGCCACTCAAGCCGCTAGATATCACTGGTATCTAGTCCCCCTGTAATATCTTTGTATTTCAGAGGGACTAGATACTAATATTGATTCAAAAATCAGACTGAAGGGACATAATCTATGCTGATATAAAATATATTTTTTTCTTCTGATTATGCAGAATGATAATGCAGAATGATATTAAACTAAAGACGCACGTATACACATCTGTTAAACAACACGTTCACATGTACAGATGTACATGCATCATGTAGAAGCCTATTTTAAGACAAAGCAAGTAAACAAATCCATCCAGCTGTGTATTAGGTAAACTTAATGATAGTCCTTTATCATTTTAAATGGAATAATGGAAAGCTTATGTGTATACTGGACTACAAATCAGACCTTACTTTATTGGTTGAGAAGTTTATAAAAAAATATCGTGCCAGTTCCCCAGGGATAACATCATAGGCCAGCTCAAAATTCAAAGGTATAAATAAAAACAAGTAGATTTACCAATCTTTAAAAGCATGCCAATATGGTAGGACAACTGATTATGAATTATAAGTTAAACACCTATTAAAAAATTAACAAGCTATACGAAATATATCAAAAACAGGACAAGCTTGAGCAAGTAATCAATAAAATACATAAAGAAATAAAATCAAGAACATGATTTATATAGAAACATATATATATCCATTAAAACCATTCTAAACTATTAGAAAGATTAATAATGTACTAAGAAAGTGAAAAAAATATTTCCATATATACTGTTGTACAATTAAACCCAAGCATATTCTTAAATATACTCTGCAGTAATTCTGTATTACCCTGGAAAATTACTTTTCAAATTCATAGACATATAAATCATTGTATGTGTAACAGCAGATGCATTGTGTGTAATATATAATTTAGGTATGTACCAAATGGAAAATATTTTGCCCACACACACTTTCTGCTATGAATTTCTTACAATGTTTAATGCTTTAAAATGTTGAATATTCCTTGCTTGAATTCCTTATACTTTTTGAACAATGCCTCACAATTCCTTACGTTGTTGGTAAATAGATTAATGCATACAACTCTTTCAGAATATATTGCTTCACTTCAGGATATTTGGCTTATAGCACATTTTACAGTATGTTTAAGCCTCCAGTTTCATCTATAAAGATATCTGAGACAAAAATATTATGGAAGTAGGAATACTAGGCACATATATCATTTAAACATAACCAAACAAATTTAAATTCAGGATTTCTTCTAGTCCATAATTAACATCAATGCAATTGCAATCCAGCACATGCATTATGGCACTGAAATTTCTCTGACATAGGGTTTTCTTATCAAAGTTAAAACATGAACCCATTGCCACAGCACCAGAAAGCCAGTTTTATGCCTGGTGTAAAACAAAATGCATGTTATTTCTCCCTCAAGCATGCTGGGGAAAAAAAAAAAAAAAGAGCTGTCTAAAACCTTCATGTCACACATAGTCATAGGGAAGCAGCAGTGCTAATGTGAACTACGTTACAGGAAAGATGAAACACCATTCAGCTATAATCAAAGTAAACATCAGGCATTAAGGGATAAACAGGAACCAGAGCTGCCATCCTCAAGAAAAAGAAAGCCATAAGAGCCTACCTGAGACAAGTGAGACTGTGTCTTTCTCCCATGAGACAACAGTGATGTATGCCTCCACAGAGGAGGGGATAATGCACTTGAACACTGCTACATTGCCTCTCATGGCTTTCTGGTCCTCCACACGGACTGTATAGGGTTCCCGTAAAACTGAAGATAGAAGAACACGGTATCATTAAACAAGTCATAGGCACCCACCTCATTCGCTTCTCGGGTTAGTCTGGAAGAGTTCACCCAAAAAGCTTACCTGCATTACGGATTTTTGATTGGGGTAATTGGTATACTCTTGTGAGGCTAACTGCAAATGAGTAAGAAAATATTCCAAGATTTTTCTGTTTCCTTAAAATCTGCATTTCACAAGGTTTCTGTGCTCCTCTCCTCCCTGATTTTTAGGACAAAGTGAAGCGAAGAGACTGCACATTTTATGTGGGTAAATAATGTTATGTCTTCTGTTACTTGTCTAATTTATCATGCCAGGCCTCTCCTCACAAATGGTTTTCTGCTCTGTCAAAGGGCACCAAGTACATATAACTACTGTGTGTGAATAAGACATCCAGAGGGTAGAAAAGAAGGTCAGTGTAATTTAGGATTTTGAAGAAATGAGAACTGAGGAAGAAAATCAATGGAGGTGACAGCCAGAGAAAAAGCAAGGTGTCTCAGAGCCACAGAGAAACAGCAGCAAGTAAGGTAAGAGCTACAGTCAAGTGGCCAGCACTGAAGGGAATGAGTTAGCAATCAGAAAAGAGAAACTGTGATTGGGAGCTGTGTTGAAGCACAGTGTGAAAGCACTGAGATCCACGATATACAATTCTTCTAGCAGCTACAAGAATTGAATTAATGGCTGAAGAGGAAAGGGAAAATGGAGAACTCAACACATCTTTCATGCCAAACTGAGATTGCTGGGATGTGAAGAGGTTATCTAGACTGGGAGACTGGAAAGTAGGAAAATCCTGTCCTGAAACAATGCAATGAAGAATGAGGGGTGAAAATACTGTGCACAGTAGTTAATGCAGGAGAAGGCAGAGCAGTGAAGAAACAGATGTTACTACAAGAACAGGTAAAGGAGCAAGACAAAAAGGACAGCCAGAAGCTCCACAGGAGCAAAAGGTGAAGGAAAAAGAAATCAAACCACCACAGACCTGTATAGTAATATGTATATCCTGTGGGGGTGATGAAGTGAGGAACAGTTTCAGTCAATGAAGGGATGAATGCAGCATGTTTGAGGCATTGTGTACATGTATATTATGAGGCATACATTTAAGGGCAAAATTGTTGACAAGAACAATCCTAGTGTGCGAATGCAACCAAGCCAGCAATGCGGAACTACCATGTTACAGTGACATTTCTTGCCCACATATCCTGCCCACAAACCTCTAACAATTACAACATTTAACCACGTTCATTACAGAACTGTACATCCTTTGCAGTGTTTGTGCATATATTTCCACATACAAGGAGTACTGGAATTTTTAAATGTCAATGTCATTCACAATGACTTTAGAGAAAAAAAATAAATGAGAGCTGAGATGTGACTGCGCCACAAATATAGTTGCTAGCTTTCAGGCCCAGTGCCACCACTGCAAAAAGAGGACTGAAGTTCTTAATTCCAAGCAAGATTGTAGTGATATAACAGCAAGAAATTCTAACCAAGTGTAAACAAACTTAATGATACATTATGTTTAAAAAATAAGACAAATCTATCTTCCATAATAAAATAAACACCACTAGCTTATAAAAAGTCCTTTTTTATATATAAAAATTTAAGTTACTTAACACTGTTATAAGGCTATTTTTGGTCAGCTAGTAATAGTATAAGCACCCTTAATGCAGTGACTTTACAACCTTGGCTGCCCTGTGTTGAAACAGACCTTAATCTTGTTCCACACTGGAGGGAACTGCTCCAGTGGACATAGATCATCTTTATGAGGCTGATTCTTATCTAATGCTCATGCTCCAACCATCATTTACAGGCAAGAGCTGTTTTGCAGCAATATCGTAACACATTGCTAAAAATAAGGTAAGATTAAGCTTGTTTGTATTTTTTTCCAAACTGTCTGAAAATCTGCTGTATCATTTTATAGCTTACAGTCCCACTGACTATTTCAGTAAGCAATGACAGAAACCGTCTGTGGAGCATACAAACCGGAAGGAAGTTTTATTTATTTCCTTACTTAAAAAAATTACATTATTGTGATTTCAGAGGCTCCTCAGTGATTTCACGATCACAGGTTCGCCAGTTCCCCTGAATGATTTACTGGTTTATTTCTTAAAATCCCAGTTCCCTGAGTCATGAATTTATATGAGAATTTCAGCCTCTGCTAAAAAAATATTTAACCCCCCATAACTGTACAGGAAGGCTTGAGTGTGAAATGGAAATATGGAAAGTAATTGTTTGTTTTTGTTTGTTTGTTTTAATATTTTAATTAATTGAAGTAGGTAAACAAAATCTTCAAAAATTCTGGAATTGTGTTTGTGTTGTGATAAAAGGAATGATTTTGTTCTCACTTTAACTGTCTACTGGTTGAGCCAGTCTGTACACAATTAGCACAAAAAACAGTTGCACAACTTAAAACAAAAGCATTTCCTATGTACCAACAGCACTTGTTCTATTACTAAAACACAAATTTCTCCTTCAAAATGAAGTACAACTCAATACAAGCACATATAAAAATGAACAACTGAAATGGGATGGGATTTGGCAAACATTTCACCTTTTCCCAGCCCATAAACGAAGCTGAAAGACTATATCCTTTTCTGTCACAACTCTTCAATGTGTATGGTCCAATTAATCGTTTCATCATCAGTTCATTTTTCCTTATATGTGTTAAGAAGCTCAGGTGATTGATGATCTTTGAAAAACTTAGGTTTCACCTCCAAAATCAAATCAAATCAGGGAGGAGGAGAAAGCAGGAGGAATCCATTATTTCACTTAACACTGTGAGGAAATGCAGAGGTTACTCTTCTGATCTCTTGTGTTAGATTCACAGCAGCTATTACGTTCTGCCAAAAATATCCATGTTTCTTCCCTCCTTAATCCCCTCTGAAGCTAGTAAAAGATCATACTTACCGGCCTTAATGTGGACATCCTGACTTCTGATTTTCCCTGAAGGATTTTCAGCTGTGCAATAGTAAGTGTTATCATGGATTAAGTTATTAAAGCTTGAAGGAGGGAAAGGGAAAATTTGGAGAGTGCCATTGGGGTGGACGTGGCGGATCCCTGGGACATCGTAGATCTCCTCGCCCGTTGCTAGGTACCATCTGAGCGTCACAGGAGGGATCCCTGCTGCCGGACAGGGTACCAGTGTCCCTGTGGTGCTAGCAAACACTACCTCTTGCAAAGATGCATTGACAAAATACAGACTGGCATGTAGATCTTCACTGAAAACTGCAAGACAAAAAAGGAAAAAAAAAAAAGACCTTGGTCAGATAAGAAATTTCAGCTACACACAGGATAATTTGACTGTTTTCTGCTTTAAATCAATTATGAACTGCTATGAGGTCAAATGAAGGTAATTAGAACATTTGGATCCTAATGCAAGCTCTAATGTTTCTCATTTTTAGAAGAAAATATCACTAGATTAAATCCATTATGTAGCTTGGATCTGAAAATAAAACGGGAATATTTTTTACTTTGTACTGTGACTAGAAACAGATCTGATCATTTCTACATTTGCCAATGCAGCGTTCTTTATAAAACCAGCCAAAAACTAGCAGCAATCTATTTCCATGAATTTTCTAGTAACGAATTTTCTGCCAGTAACAGTTTCTGTTAGCATTTATACATTTATTTTTACAGTCTTTCTGCAACAACAATAATTTACAATGAAATAAGTAGAACTGAGTAAATAACGTTATAAATTCTGCAGTTCCTTAATAATAATGCATACATGTATTTAACACAGGTATAATTTAATAAATACATTACATAATGTGGACTGCTCTTTCCTATGAAAACTTTGAATCCAAAGTGCAGAGGACACTCATGGTAACCTTGACTCGTATGACTATATTCCTCTCCAACCTTAAGTACCAGTCTCTGTCACACTGGAAAAAGTTAGTATTGGTCAGAACACAAGATTGTCCCCTTACTGCCATGGGATCTTCAACTGTTACCAGATGGCTCAAAGGTTCCTCAACATTTCATCCAAAATACCTTCCTAGCACTTTCCACTTGAAACCTCCCCAGCGCAACTCATATTTTTTTGTGTGTGTTTTTCAATAAAGTATAAAGAGACATTGCCAATAAAACTTGCCATTTTTGCCCGACACAAACACAAAATGCATATTTTACTGCATCTTGAGTGAAGGGCATTCTGCCATGATTATCTTAGGCAATTTAGGTAAGAAGTAAGTTTTTTAAAAGGTGATCATAATGCATCAGGCCCAAGTAAGCATCAGGAAGACAGATTTCAAGGTTAGACTCCATCTGCCACTTATGTCTTATGGTAGCTGGAAGCACCAAATGGAATATTTTTTCCCCCCCTTATCTTTTCTGAAAGCTTGAGGCAAAAAGATAAAAGGTGGGAAGGGATTCTTTTCTAAATACAATCTTGGCACTGACCGTCATCCAAGTGCTTCCCACAAGGGAGTGAGATTGGCTCTGGGAGCTCCTAAAGGAAGGAGTAAGAGAGACCCTCCTAAAGGGAAAGGGCTTCAGGCAGAGATTTCTGGCATGCAGGAGGCAGCCAGATAAATTGGCATCACAGAGCAAGATGAAAGGCACTCGGAGATTTAGAAATAAGAAACTTCAGGCACTGGAGCCGATGAGGCCCTGCATACAGATGAGGCAGGTGCTGGTTCAGAATAAGCCCCTTGTAAGAAACACTTTTTCCTGGTTGGCTCAGCCCAAGCAGAAATTTGGGTTTCTAGAAAGCAAAAAGACATAATAGGACTGTGCATAGGAAAAATCAGGGCTGAATAGGATGGTGGCATTTTTACATAATCACATTTCTAATTATAGTCATACTATGAAGCAGAGAACAGAATTGTTGGTAACATAATAGAAAATAAAAAAAAGAAATTTAGTATTGTTCATCCGCTATACAAGTTTTTCTCTACAAATACAAGCGAAACAATCAATAGGGCATTTGAATTTCCATTGGCAAAGACAACTATCTATCATATAAAAGTAATAAATACAGTTCACATTTGCCAACTTTTATTATACTATACAATTTCTCCACAGACATTCAGGTAAAAACAATAGATATTCTGGCTGAGGATAAAGAGATGGCTACCAAAATAAAAACACCATAAAAATAGAGAATATCAAGGACTAGGTTGGACACCTTCATAGAATCCAACTTTCTAATCAAAATGCAGCACAGCCAAACCAGAGACTCACACTGGCAGCACATAACAATGAATTTTTCCAGCTGCATTGTATCTCCTATAGGAGCTTTCACTGCTTTTGATGAACTTTTCATCCATCAACCTATAGAATAGTGCTTCATTTTAAAGTAGCATCTGGTCCACATTCACCTTAATGGCAGACACAAACACTCTAGGATCCCTGAAAAATAATTGCAATGCTATAATATGTACACATATACACAATGCTGATAATCTGGATGTATTTTGTGGCAGAAAGAAATGTGTAAGCTACTTGGATACATTCAACAGCAAGAATGGGATTTCATGCAGAATCTTTTATTAAAGAGATATTTCTCTGTAATGTTCCATAGGAAGAAAGTGATTAGCTGGATAACAGAACAACAACTATATCAAAAGTGAATTGAAACTGAGACAAGTCAAATACAATATGTAATTATATGTTACTTTATCTTAATGGTAAAACATGATCTGACTAACCACCATATTTTATGGTAAGCAGCAATAAGCTCAGACTACAAGTTGAAAGGAAGAGCAGTAGGGGAAGTTGATGAATGTTAGAGATATAAAACAATAAAGAGAACTGCCTGTAGAAGAGAGTAAACTAAGAATTAAAGGAGAAATAAAAATCAGACTGGTTCTACCAGCTGCTTGTATGCTATTCTGAAAACAAAACTTCTGAAGTGTTTGATCTCCAGAACAATGACTAAAATTGTGACAGCCCAAGAAAATTAGCTACACATGGCCTTGACAAAGAAACATCGGCGTTTTCAAAGAGATGGCAGCAGTCTAAGGGGAAAAAAAAAAGGCAAAGATTCCTCCTGAAAAGGATTTATTTATTACTGAATATCAATAACACCTGAAGGAAATAGGAGCACGCCTGCATCTCAGCCTGCATCTCAAAGGATGCCCAGACTCCAATGACAAGGTAAAGAGCAGCAGGCACCTGCAAGGGCTGCAGGGCAGGAAGGCCTATAGGAAACCGATACACTTAGCCATGGGGTTAGAGGAGCACGTAAGGAGAATATCAGATCGATAAACAGAGGGCAAGAAGCACTTCTTGAATCTCAGGTTAAGTAGATACCATAATTGTATTCAGATAACAAAAGAGGCAAGGGAAGGGAAGGGAAGGACGGAAGGGAAGGAAAGGAGGGAAGCGGGGAAGGTAGGAAGCGGGGAAGGGGAAGGGAGGGGAGGGGAGGGGAGAGGAGGGAAAAAAGGGAGGGGAGGGGAGGATTTTATTGTAAAATTAATCAAAATACCTCAGACTCTGCTACTTGAAGTAGTAAGAGGAACTGACAATATACAATATGCAAGGAATTTTCTCCTACTTTTCAGGGGACACAGTGCCACCACACTGTGCCTAGCAACGTGCTGAACCTGTCAGCAGGATACAAAATTTATTTTAGCACTTGAGAAATCTCCTGTCAAGTAAATGGGCTTATCTCACGACAAGCTGGACAGTGGGGCTGCAAGTTGAGCACACTCAGAAACAACAACAACAACAAAAGGTAAAATGAACATTGATTTGAGTCTGGGTAGATAAAGTGGCAAAGATCTAGACTGGGCTTTTCCTTTATTAAACCCAAACCTACTGGTATGAGTGAGACTGGATACATTTTTTTGGTCTGTATAGAGATTACCTTTTCTTTTATCTGGCACGTCACTCCTTTCTCGAGGTCTCCAGGACACCGCAGTTACTGTTACACTGCAACTCATACATATACTGTATATTTGAAGGTCTTATAGTCGGGCCTGGCAAAAAACGCTTCTACTACTCCTGCTTACAATGGTCTCATTTACCAAGGCTTCATTATACATGGCTCAAGATAAAATAGGCTGAAAGCAGTGTTTTATGATGCCCTTAGTTAATGGGAGAAAGGAGGCACCACTAAGACATGAGAGATGATGCTACATTTAAATTACCATCCTAAGCAAGACTCTGGCTTGTTCCATACAGGAACTAGTGTCCTGGAGGGATCAGCACCAGCTGCAACGAAGCGAAGAAAGAAGATATGCAGTGGAGAACTGCGAGATTATCTGTCCAAAGTAGGCCATCTTCTTCCCCTGCTCCACCATTCTTTGTTTATTCCAACCTCAAACTACTTCATATTTTAAAACCCTTTCTGCAATGAATCCAGAAATGAAAATATTCAGGCTTTTCAGAGTTTAAGTGTAATAGAGCAAGTACATTTTGAATCTGTAAAACGCACTGCTAGAGCATAATGCACTGTTTCTGTCCTGTGCATTTCCTTTAACCATGTTCTATTTCATATTTTCATAAACTAAAATATTTGTGATCTTTATAGCTTGATTTTCAAACTTTCAAAATTCTCTTTGCATATTCTGTAACTGACCACTTAAAGTCCCTATTTTCTCATCATGAAAGAGCTGACGTACCTTTGGGCAACAGACAGGTCATGGTTCCGCCCTTAGGAATGTCACATAGGACCCACAGACCAACATCCCTTTACTTGCATATATTAGAAATTTCAAATTGGAATTCAGTACTCAATATATTTAAAAATATTAAGAAAAAATCTGTGAGCAATACTTTGTATTTAAATTAGCTTCTCAGTCTCAATCAAAGGCTAAATTTTATTTCTATACTATTTATGCAAGAGGAAAATTTGGCCCTAAATGAATAAAATGTTCAAAACAAAGAAAAAATATTTCTCATTATCCCTTTGATTAACCAAATCCAGCATGAAATATTTATATAAAGTAATATATATGCATCAAACTGAAAGTCTGGAGCAAATAGGCCACTGAGATTATTTAGACAAAATAATAATGAAAGTAGAAAACACTGCATAATTAAGCAGCTGACTGCTCTCCTGCACTACAGCAGTTTATAACAACAGATTTTGAAATGATTTTCTACTGGAATGTCAGTTTGATCACAGCTTATTTGCTCACTTTTTCTCCCCAGTGACATTGTGATCAGTGAACTGGACAACAATCAAGTATTTTCTTTAGATTTAATAGATTGTATAAGAAATTACCTTAAAATTTAATACCTCACAGTTAAAACACCAATTCAAACATAAGAAA